AGCACATACGTACAAAAATAAAAGGAAAACCATTTGTAATATAGTCTTTTTCTTACTTGTCATCTTCTTTTTTTCAGAAACAAATGATTGGAGAAGTCTGTTTCAAACTAATTTACAATCATTTTAATAATCGGAACTAAGGCAGAAGGTGAGGTATATGTTCAAAAAGAGGAGGGGGGACTCAGAGGAAGCACTCTCCCCTCAGTGCAGGAATAGAAAAAACGGAGAGAGAAACATAAAGGCTGTCGACACGCAGGGAAACGGTCTCAGATCTGCCTACAGACCTGCGCTCCCTGCGAGCCGACACATTTTAAAACCAGCACAATGGCAAAGTCCAGACACTGGGTCTTTAATCGAAGGGGTAAGACGCACCTAGCCCACTCAGAACTCTACATGCATAATGAATTAAGGAGGCAAAGTGACCATTTGTCTGTTTGTAACTGCTCTAATCTTTTCTGCTCCACAGCAGCATCATGCAAACATCGCAGGGTTACTAACGCTAAGATTTCCTTCAGACTGGCACTCTGAAAACCTGATGGCAAACAAAGCAGTGTTTCTGTGCCAACGTCATACACTTCATTCCCCCCCCTCAAACCCAAATTGTATCCTACAGTTTAACGAGTCGGGATTTTACGCTTCCCACTCGCCGGCGGCTCAGGTTTCAGTTGTGCCGACAAATTCCTCTGAGCGATAAACGAGAAAAAAAAACAAACGTACAGTAATAACACGTGAAAATAAGTTGCGTGCCAGCTTGTTCTAAAGAAAGAAGAAAAACAGCATCACCTGCTGCACACATTTGCACTTCATAAAAAAAATTGCACCTTGTGTTTATTTTGATGAATTAGAAAATAAAATACTCATCAGTTGACTCCTTACTGCTATGAAAAAAAGCTACAAATGATCATTTACTGATCCGAGCAATATAATAAATACTGATCAGTTAAAATGACCAGTAAGATGCTCAAGACAAAAGCCTCCAAAAACAATGATCATCAACATTCCACGAACATATTTGACATCTCAAGTGATTCTTTTGCATCACAGTATTCAGTCCATCAGATAACTGACTCAGATATCTTGTTTTTTTCTGGAAGCACTGGATTATTAATCCTTGGCCTTTTGCTACAAACCAACTCAAACCAAAGTCAGTCCCTTCCTTCACCACCTCGCCACCAGTTTCCATCACTCCCGCCTTCATCCTCTTCCAAGTGAGGAACACAGCTTGCACAGTGAGACAGTGTCATGTTATTCCTGACTCAAGGTAAATTCATCAGATACTGTCTCTGTTTTGTGCTTTGGCAGAAGCAGAGCACGGCGGCCGTGCGCTCGTGGATAATTACACTCTGCTCAACTCTTCCAGCCCAGAACTCTGCTACTACACAGAAGCTGGAGCTTAAATGCTGCCTAAACCATTTCAAGTTACAATCCTAATAAAAAAAAACATTTTGCTTAAATGTAAATTAAAGCTAAATACAATGATGTGCAAATTTCATAAATCCATATTTCATTTACGATAAAACACAGTAAACATATCAAACGTTGAAAACTATGAAATTGTGCAATTTCTTTTAAAATGAGCTCTCTTTTTAATTGTATGACAATGCATCTCATAAATGTTGGGACAGGGCCATGTTTTCTAGTGTAAAGCATCTCTTCTTTTAACAACAGTCTGTAAAAGTCTTGGAACTGAGGAGACCAGTTGCTTCGCTGAGTTTTTGTTTCTTGATACAGCAAATCTTCTCTTTCCGTGAGAAATCTGAACTGCAGCACTCGGACTCTACTACACAGCCTTGCTGTTGTAATGGATTCAGTGTGTTTTAGTGTTGTCTTTGTGAAATATGCAAGGCCATCCCTGGAAAAGACATTCTGACACAGGAGCACATGTCGTTTTAAAACTTATACAGTAGTCCCTCGATACTTTGCGGTTCGACTTTCGCCGACTCACTCTTTCGCAGGTGTTCAATGTAAGATTGTACACTACACACGATTGGCAATAGGGAAAGACAAAACCCATCCCCGCCCCCTTTTTTCTCTTTCTCTGCTGTGACAGACAGCCTCAGAAAGAGAAAGGAGGGGGTGGGGGTCTGTCTTTCCCCATCGCTACTGCTCAGGGAGCAGGGATGAACAGATCAGATGAACAAATGTAGAATATTGGAGAAAATGCTTAGGTGGAAAAATAAGAGCGAATCAAATTAAAAAGAGAGAGAGAGTAGCTGAGTGTGGCTCACTCAGGTATAAGACAGACCCCCCCGCCTCTGCCTTTCTCTTTCCAAGACTGTCACAGCAGAGAAAGAGAAAGGATGGGGCGGGGGTGGGGTCTGTCTTGTACTTGAGTGAGCCGCACAAGCAGCATGGATTGTTTATTTAAAATAATCTAACGCGAACATTGTTAAGAATATTTTCATGTAGTGCCTCCTGAAGACCTGAAGACCATGACCATCCAGTGTTGACTTTCAGCCTCATCTTTTAAACTTGGACATTACTCCAGATTTTTAAAAATGTTTTGATGATATCATAGAATATAGATGATAGAATTTTTTTTTTTGTTTGTTTGTTTGTGGAACTGTTCCACAATTTTTAGTCATAGTTTTTTGCAGATTAGTGAACCTCTGCCCATCTTTACTTCTGAGAGATTCAAAAAATGGTCTTAGTCTTCTTACTGACCTGTTGCTAATTAACTTAATTCTATGCAAAATGCTCCTTCAGCTATTTCTTATTTGTATCACCTACTCTTACAGCCTTTTGTTGCCCCGTCCTAGTTTTTAAGCTGTGATGCTGCCATGATAATTTAAAATGACCCTAATTAAAATATATATATATATGTTACAGTTTTTAGTTGAAACATTTTGATGTTAACTAAATGACATTCAAAGAAAATATTGGTGTATGAAATTAGCATGTCCTTGCATTCTGCTTTTATTTACATCTTACACGCCCCATCTTTTTCAAAATCATGTCTGCATGTTCCAGACATGTTAAAGAGGCCATGAGGTATAAATATGAGAACTGCAAAGAAGAATCTTGCAACTTTTTCTTTATACTTGTTTCACCAAACTGCCCTTCTGCTAGTAGTATGCCACTTCAAGGACCTTGCAAGACAAATTAGAAAGTTAGTGATACTCTGACTAAAATGCACCTCATTGCAATATTTAAAAGACTGTGCATGTGTACTATGACTTGAAAATTCATCAGTACCCTTCTTATGAAAAAAAGCCTTCCAAAGTGCAGAGCTTGGTAAAGCAACAATCAAAAGACCAGAACAAAAAAATACCAACGTAAGAAACACGAGGATGGAACAACCAAATCTCTGACCTTGGTACAACAATGGCTCAGATGCACAATATTCCCAGGGTCCTGCGCTGACCATCGGGCCTGACAACAACCACTGAGAAGCCCCCATATCTGACACTCAGGCCTTTTCCTACATGTCCTCAAGGAGTTCAACAAACAGTCAGTGCTGCACACAGAATGCCATCTAAGTCCTCTGTTCATATTTGTGTTTTCTGCTGGGTTTGCTTTTATCCTGCAGAAAATTACAGTATCTGAGAGAGAAGTGTGAGCATTTTATGAATTCAAGTATGTTATGCTGCATAAACAAAGTCTGAATGAACATTACAACAAAAAACACTTCTTTCTTAACAAGAAGCTCTACTCTACCTCAAAGACTAACCCGAATAATGAATAACTAGCTTAAAACACTGGGTTAAAAAAAAAAACATTTTAAACTAATAATTACACTCAATAAAGTCATGAAGTCTGCAGCTGTTCCAGTTCTCTGTAGGCCAAACCAGAACACCTACATTATTTTAAACGAACCCAAAACGCTGTCGTATTTACAGTGAACTGACTGAGCAGCATCCTCTTTAATTTCACTCTTTTCTGTATAAACGTGCCACTTTAAGTGCCAGATATCATCAGTGTGAACTTCAAGCAGCTCCCTTTTTTAAAAATCTGATTGCAGTTTTTAAATAAAATAAAACATAAATACTCTAGGATGAGTCAGCAGCAGTGACGAAACGTTCAGGACTGACACTACAGTGTGGGGTAATGACGCACAGCAGACAGAAACGCCTCATTGTGTCAGGTTGATCATTTCCTGCTACGCAGACGCACCCTAGCCAATGAGCATATGAGCCGTAAATAAAAAAAATAAAATGCTTTCACAGAACCATTCTACACGCATGCTTAAAATCATTGCGCACCCATACATACAATACACAGTCAAACGCTCAGGCTGGCCCTACCACCCGGCTGCAAAACTAGTGAAAATAAAACCTGGGATTGTCAAAGCTGACTTGGACATGATGTTTTGGGGGTGAGGGAGGGTGAGTGCTGGATCTAAATCTAACCTTCCAAGAGGCTCTACTGGATCCTGTGCAGCATCTAGTCTCAGTTACTCAATTGATCCAAAAATAGAAAGAAAATAAAAGTGGAGAAACCTCAGACCATCGAGGAATTGGGCTAAAGTCCCTCATGGTGACTTAGGGAGTGATGACTTGCGTATGATTCCTATTTCTGACACGAGCCCCACATTTCTCGCATTCACTGGTGAGGGGGCCGCAAAAAGGAATTCAAGGCACAGCCACCTCATGACGACGCAAGAAAAACCACCAACAAATTTACAAGTGCTCCAGTTGCCCTGACAGCGACAGAAACAATCACCCATAGACGTCTAGCTTCTTGATAGACGACAACAAAATGTTTTAAAGTATACAGGCATTCCTCTGAGTGAGAATTTAATGCACACACTTCCCTTTTTCTAAATGTCCTTCACAATATATGGTTGTTTGAGGTATAATAACATCTCCGTTTTTATTCCCAAAAGATGAACCGTGACCCACCGGCAGGGCAAGCACTCAAACAAATCCACCATGCACCCATAAAAACCGAAGGGACGAACAACACTTCTCTATCCCCTCCGTATCACAAAAATGATGAAACTTATAAAAGCAGCACAGAATGGCATTTCAGTCATTTCTAATACAAAGTCAGCTACCCAAATATACATATAAAGTTTGAATAAATATCTTCAGATATAACTGTGTTTCTTTCTTTTGCAGTCCATGTTGTCTTTTGTGTTTGTACGTACGTATGTGGTATTTGTGTTACCTGGGATGTAATCCACATGTGCAAATAAATTTGTTATTGCCAGTTTTTTTTACCCCACCCCCTCATCATATTCGTGGTAAGAAGTGCGTTACAGTCATGGCAGTAGTGGCTCTGTTGCCCTTCTTCACACGGCCATGCTTGCTCAGTGCTATGTAGGACCCTCTGTAAACCAGAGACTCATAGGCGTTGTAGTTGTTCGGGAGCAAACTCTCCTTGAACTTGCACTCATCATGGAAGACTGTCTGGAGAGAAAAAAAACAAACAAACACAAAGAAAGAACGTGAATCTTAACCAGCTGGTTGAGAAAAGAATAGATTCTGTAAAACATAAAGTTAAAGCTTCTTAGATGTGTTTTATTTTCATCTGGGAATGAGTGGGACAAACATTAGGCCTTGAGATGAGAAGGTATTAGTGTTGATGATGTTGCCGGACAAGTTCAACTCAGACTTCATTCCAAGTTCTGAATGTCCACCAGAATGAGAGATAAGTCTTTGCCCAAAATCATGTAAACAAGTAATTTATCTGCAAAGCACCTTTCACACAAACAAGTGCAGGCCAGAGGGTCCCTTTCCTCTTTAGTATGGAGGACGTAGAGTTCAAGGTTTCCAAAAGGTGTTTCAAATTTTGATTAATCTCCCCATCAAACGATTTCCCACTTTGCCTCGTTCCATTTTAAATGAGCTTCAGCTGAAGGAAAACGTCTGTGTTTCTGGGTGGTGATCACGTATAATTTCTGTTTTGCGTGATGGAGCTTTAACCAGCAATCGTGAATGGTACAGTGAATTGTGTTTATGGACAATTTGTGGAAGTGTTGCTAAGACATGCAGTGATGTCAATAACCCCAATGTTTTATGTTCTGTTGAATCAGGGTTGGTATTAAAATACAAGATCAAGCTATATTTATAGACAAAATCTATACAGCTACTTTTATCCTGTTGCACTCCTTTGTCAAACACTGACCATCAATGGGTCCGATAGAAGTGACTCAAACTATCTGTCCTTCCATCATTACCCGCTTTTACCTTTTCTGGACTCTGGCGAACTGATATTTATCTCCAGCAGTCATTGGGTGAGAGGCGGGGTACTCCCTGGACAGGTCGCAAGTCCATCAGAGAGACAAATCATACAAACAATCATTCACACTCACCCACAGTGTTCAGATCCACTAAAAATGAGCTACAGTCGCATCACAATTGAGCTTAAATTAAACAGTCTCATGTCAGAGTTAAACTGGTCTCAGTCAGTGACAACTCCATTCAGCTGGTGACAGAATGGGGAAATCTACGGGATCTCAAAGAATAAAATCAAAGTGCGCAAGTGCATCTGAGAATGTAAAAAGTATGATGGCTCAACCGCTCAGTGGTTTAGGAATGTTGTTCATTAAATACAAATTTAAAGAGCTTAATGATTTCAGCAGATAAAACTAATCTTTTAAAATGAAGAAATTCTACAAATGCTGAAACAAACCAAGAAGAAGCTTTTCTAAGAATGCTGTGTAGCATGTCATTAAAGCAGACATGGTTCTGTTGTGGAAATCCTTGTATAGACCCCAAAAAACAAATAAAAACTACTGCCAGCGAACACTGCGTCCATTCATGTAGGACTAGATGTCGTTTTTCCAGTGCACAGATCCAAAGACAGCATCTATGGATGTGCATCAGTCCACACATGCATCCTACAAATGAGTACATTATCATTACAAGCAAAATCTGCTGCTATCCAGATGACTTTTTCCAGGGAAAGTCAGGTAAATTTCAGTAAGAAGATTCCAAGCATACTTTGTGTCCAGCTCAATTCAAACCCAACATACATTAACAATGTTAACACATAAAATAAAATTACTACTAAAATCATTGCAATGAAATTTCTCTTTAAATCCTTAAACAATGTGTCTTCCCTACTTACAGAACCTTAAGGTTCTGTTCACACCTGGAAATAAACCCCCATCTTGTAAGCTTTGATTTAGAGCATTCACACCTGGCAGTAACTCAAAAACTAAACTCTTAACTTGTAACTTCTGTGGCGTTATTTCCTATCCAAGGCAAACGTAACACAGCAATGGGCAAATAAATGCAATAAAGTCACAAACTACTCATCTCCACTGTTTCCAAAACTGTCGTAGTCGTGTTGAGGGCATTTTCCATCAGCCAGTCACAGCCCGTAAATCAAGTCCATGTGGTCTAGCTCCGTCTGCTCTGAGCCAACAATCACGTAAATGTCTGCACCTGCTCATAGTACCACGGCACTGGTTTACATGTCGCCATTTTAATGGATGAATTATATATTATAAAATAAAATAACATAAATGAATGCTGTGGTTGAGAGGATGTAAAAATTGCGGGTTTGATTCTTGTGGAGACGTTCATGGCTGACGTCAATTGATGTTTTGGTGTCAAATCTTCAGCTCGACTTGACTCGCTTGACCGTGGCCTGATCTGGAAGTGGGTGGAACCACCCGGGGCCAGTGGACCATCAAAACCTGCGCCGAATCGAGCCCAGTAGAGTCCACGGAAAAGGTCTTTTTGACTTTAACAAGGTTCTGGGCCATTAGCGTAATATTTTTGTGGAACTATCTAACAGACGTGATATACAGTTTAGAACGAAGCATAAAGTTAGTGCCTTCATAGAGCTCAACGTCAATGCAAAGACTCGGAACGCCACAGTGCAAAGACAGCCATCATCTGCTTTCTGTACTGTCTCACAGTGAAGGCAACACACTGCTGTGATTAATAAAGGGAAGATGATGTCTAAATGCTGCTCAGACTTGTCCTGTGGTTGAAACAGCACTTTATAGCTTAGTGACCATGGCAAGTCTAGTCAACTCTAAAAGCAATTCAAACCAAATTTAAACTAAAGAGAAACTCACCACATCACATCCTGACAATCCATACTGAGATATTTTGTAAGAAGGGTTCTGATAAACAGTTGGTTATATCTTTTGGCCAAAAACTTAAAAGCATTCTAAAAGACAAGCAAACAGAAAAATTGTGTAGCTTTAAAATATTCCCAAGGACGACTGTTTAATTACCTTTAATCAGGTCAGTAGCTCAAACTGATTTTTATTTTTTTAACCCCAAGATGTCCTGGTAATAACTTTGCTGCTTTTGTTGGGTCCCATCAGATCAGTAGGAGGTCACAGATTGTGTTCAGGCTACCAAAAATCCATCCATTATCTTTACCCGCTTCTTCCTTTTTGGGTCGCGGGAGTCACTGGCACCCTTGTCCAGCCATCACTGTGCGAGAGGCAGGTACACCCTGGACAGGTCGCAAGTCCATCACAGGGACACAGAGTCAAATGAGACAAACAACTAGGGATGCACAATATTATTGGCATGGTATCGGCGATAAAGTTAAATATAGAACATCGGCCATTCCATCAAAATAATTGACCAATATAAAAGGCGCTGTTTTTGTATGACAACCCAGTGACAAGGATGTCTGCAGCGCCAGCACAACATTATGACGTCATGCACGCCGTTGAGTTTAGATTTGTGAAAACTTACAAATTTGCACTGTTCGAGTGTTGTTGTGTTAGAGAATAAATGTCATGAATAAATTTGGCATTAAACATAATCCAAGTTGAAGTGTTTCATCATTTTCAGCCCCCTTTTTGGCATCTGCATTTGGTAACTGGTCAAATTGATAAAGACCATGCAGAATAATGTAGTATTTTAATTCCACAGCAGAGAAAGCTATGTAGTCTCTAGAAGTTGGTCTAGGAAAAAAATATCGGTACTAGTATTGGACAAATAAGTTTTGACATATCAGCCAAAAATCTAATATCGTGCATCCCTACAAACAACCATTCACTCTCTCACTCTCATCTAGAGACAGTTTAGAGTTACCAATCAGTCTAACATGCATGTTTTTGGTCTGTGGGAGGAAACCAGAATACCCGGAGAAAACCTACGCATGCACGGAGAGAACATGCAAACTCTCCCAGAAGGGCTCCCGGACCAGGATTCGAACCAGGATAACCTGCTTGCTGTGAGGCAGCAGCTCTACCTGTTGCCCCACCGTGCTGCCCGCTACCAACCATGTGCAAACAAAAGGGGTTCAGACCAACTCCGAAGGTGGTTTGGGTGAAACTATTTCCAATACCCAATGAATCAGTTCACATCTGTATTTAGCCCCATCAGAATTCAATCCAATGGCTAAAGATGGATTTTACTGCCAGGTGTGAACAGGGTCTACGAGTCCTGCACCAATGAATTTAAACATGCTACTATGGTACTGGTATTTCAGACATACCACATAACTGATTTATTTCATATATTTCTAAACATACACAATTTGTTCAATTAAAGTCATTCACCTCTCATCCATTCCCTCTCTGTTCTGGTGGTCCACAAGCTTCTGTCCTCAACCCTCTCCTTTTTTGTCATCCGTCTCCTCCAACTTGGCAAAATCTTTCAAAAACATAACATTTTCACTGTTATGCGAATGACACCCAGCTCTATCTGTCTACCACCCCCCACCTCCAGCCCCTCCACCCACCTCACTGACTGTAAAATCACTCAGATTTTACTATCTCTGAAAACAAAACAATCGTAGAAATATTTAGACTGTTTGCAACAGTGTGGAGGCTGTATTGAACTGGGACTTTTAAACAAGAAGAAAAAGATCAGAACCATTGTAATTGCTATGGAAACACTTGAAAGCACAATTTCCCCCTGAACTTTCTTGCTTAAGTCTAAATATCTGCCTGGATAAAATAACTTGACTCTGCATTTGGCTGGCAGTCCATGACACATTGAGCAGCAGAGCAAACACTCCTTCAGAAAGCATGTGGTCTAATTCAATCTCTTATCAGATCCTCAGTCTGCTTCGCAAGCTAACGCTTCATCACTCAAGACCAGATAACCGGCTGCATTCTGCCTGTCAAATATGTGAGTCACAACAAGTAAACTGCGTGTCAGTGCGCTCTTAACACAACGACCCCCTCGCCGCCACAAGGGACAGCTTTAAATTCATGACTCTTTGCTCTGCCTAAAAGAGAACCACTTTTGTCCTCTGAAAGATGTCTCTAGTAAGCCTGCAGTTTTATATGTGATAAAGAGCGTATCAACCATACTAATCAGCTTTTACAGAGAAAACATGACTTTATTACCCCTCAGTAAAGATGCCTTGTCCAAATGAGTTCAAACTAGCCACAAACATGTAACATTATAAATACATGTGCAACAAGCTGGCTTATGCACCAGCCTGAATAGATATTTGCCTAAACGACCACATTTTCTGTCATTTTTAAACAAATATCAGCATATCTTAAAAAACATCAGGCAGCTAATTCTTTTCCTGAAAAAAGTGGCATCAGAGTAAAACAGGTTGCCCAGTTTTATTTCCAGCTCAAACCCATTCTTTCTTGCGTGAAAACACTGGACTAAGGGTTAAAATAAGTAACAGACGATTATTTCAAGTGACAAATGTTGGCGAACACATTCACTAAGTTAGTAAAAGAAAGGATGAGATGGGGTTAAATGTGGACACCGTATTTTACTCACAACAGATAAATATAATTGTTTAATTTATAAAATAAAATAAATGTAATTCAAAATTTTATGGCAGCAAAACATCTCAGAAGGTTGGCACAGAGTTTACCCCCGCTTTACAGAAAAGTCTGTAAATATTGAGGAACGGAGGAGACCACTTGGGGGGGGGGGGGTTTGGGGGGGGGAGATGTTGTTCCATTCTTGACTGATGTACAGTATTAGCTGTTCAGCAGTCCTGGTTTTTATTTTTTTTATTTTGCCTGTATATAATTTTCTGTACTGGCGGTGCCTTTCCAGACATATAAGCTGTCTATGCCAGAGGCACTAATGCACCCCAATACCAACAGAGAGGCAGAACTGTGAACTGTGTGCTGATAACAAACTGAAAGCTTCCTCTTCTTTATAGATCACACGGTGTTCATAGTTTACTAAAAATTGTCAATGTTGTCAGACCACAAAACAGTGTTCCACTTTGCCTTAGTTCATTTTGCCGTAAAATTCTAAATGATGCTATTTTTGAACGAAAAAATTATGATACAATTTCTTAATCTTAACATTTGACGCGTTAACAATATTCCAATGTGATTTGTGAATAATATGAGAGTTTAGGATGTTTGCGACTCATTGTATTTATTTCAGTAATTTTTACTAGCTTCCTGTGTTTTGGCCATACAGGGACGCAGCCGAAACACTCAAATGCTCCTTTTAAGCTTTTTGAGTCTTTTCAAATATTTCGGACGACAGAAAAACATTTTGGTGACAAAGACAAATGTAATAACAATAATAAAAAGGCCTGAACAAATGTGTCAGAAACTGAAAAAAAAAAGTAAGGAGCTTTAATCCCCCCCCCCCCCCCCCCCCCAAAAAAAAAACAACCTAATTGTGATTCAGAGTGATCTTTGCAGGCAGATGCTGATGCAGTGTGTGTCAGTGTAATGTGCACTGCATTGCAAAACAAGCATTATTCCGTTTAAATCGATTCCCAGTTCTGCTGACAGGCATCAGGGGGGTTCCCACCTCCACACTCACAGGACCACATGACCATCCTGTGGGCTAAACCCTGCATCTGTTAACCTCATCATTAGTCGCCCAACACGCCTCGCACACGCTTTAAATAGAGCTTTATAAATTCCTGATGGAATCAAAATATATGGACTTTGCAACTTCTGATGCTCCCCTGTGGGCCAAAGGGCATGACACCCCCATTCCAAAACATGACCGCCAACTTTTAAATAACGGGGGAAATGAGAAGGGGGCGGAGCCAGTCCTAATTTCAGGATCCAATTGACTAAGAAATGAAATGTTGTGCATACCTACCGTTCCGTATAACCTCCCGCGGCTGTTCATTGCGACGAACAGCTCACTCCTCACCCCGAACAGGCTCACCACCCCCCTCTCCACCGTGGAGATCTCCACCAGACCTGGTGCAGGACAGAGAACAGGCATTAAGGTGGAAATAAACAGCTTCCTGACATGTCAGTGTGTTCTCAGGACAGGGTTCTCTCTCTCTCTCCCTTTGGGTGGAACCTTGCAGGATGCTGTGCAGCATGCTTCTTTTTTTTTTTTCCTTTGTCCCGCATCCTTCACTCCCAGATTCGCATCCGTCAATTACGCGCATGCTGTTTTTTTTTTTTTGTGTGTTGTTGCTCTAATTGTTTAGACGTGCACTGAAGTGGCTGCTGCTCTCTGGACCGCCCTCAGAGCGCTGCGTAAAAATAAGTTGTGGCTAAAAGCGTCCACACATTCATGACATGGTTGAGCTTGGA